AGGTTGCTGTTTGGTTATCAAACTTTTTAGCCACACTAGTGGTGTGCCTCTAAGGATATGTCAGTTGGTCAGCTGCCAATATCTTGGCTACTATTGGATGGATTGACATTACATTTTGTACACACATATTACTCAAAGGATTAATAATGACTGTGGTGAGCCTTTGACTTTTCCTCTAGCGCCATAACCAAGTAAAGGTTTTCACTTATGCAGTGAAATCTACTGGATGAATTGGCACAGAATGTGGCACGGACATTCATGGTTCCCAAACAATGTAGGCCTTAAAAACAGTGTTTTTAAGTTACATATCAATTGAATGGATTACCTTAAAATTCAGTGCAAAAACTCATGTACCCCTTAGGGTGAATTATCAAGTCAAGTGCCTTAAAGGGTTTTACAATCTGTGCAGCATAACACAATGATTATCCTTAGACTTACTTTATGTTTACTGCTAATTAACAAATGTTAGCACACCTGGGAAACATCGTAAACATATCTGCTAAATATTCTCCGGAACAAACTGCATGACGATATCAGATGTATTACAACTGAGCTGTTTTTTAAAAGCAAGCTTAAGGCCCACCTGTTCTCTCAGACGTATGGTCAACTAGGGCCTCCGGCTTTCTGCCTGTCTACCTGGCATTTGTTGGTGGGTATGTTTATATACCCATGGTTGTAGACTCTTGTTGGGATATTATAGCATAACATTATTATTTGCCTGAAATAAGATTCATCCCCTAAGCAGGACTTTCTAAATGGTTTATCATTAGTGCATCAGGTTATCTTCTTCAATTTAAAAGTGTTTGTAATAGCGCTCAGTTAATGTTCATGTAAGTTCACTGTGCTTCAGCAACACTGAGCCAATGGCCATTGAGAAGTAAAGCAGACAATTTAAACTGAATTCTTTGTGAGTGAGTTCATTTTGTCCACATGTGCATGTGTGTTTTTTTTTTTTTTTTTCAGGATGATGATATGCGTGAAGGGCGCTTTAATTTTGCTGGCTACAATATGAGTCAGTGTCTGCCAACGAAGGATGGCTCAGCTGTTAAGAACGCTGCTCCAGCTCCAAACCCTCAACCATCAGTCCCCAAAGACATAGACACCATGAGGAAGAAGTTTGTGGACAGAGCCAAGAGGATAGACACTATCTCCAGGGCTGCCTTTCCTCTGGCGTTCCTCATCTTCAACGTCTTCTACTGGGTCACCTACAAGATCATCAGGCACGAAGACATCCACTTCAAAAAGTAAAGACATTGACAAAAAACATTTATTTTTCATTTCTCAGATTGAGAAATGCTTGGAAAGCGGAGTGCAGTGAGATGGGAGACATTGAGAGGCACCATGGGGACGATGGTGGTGTTCTTTCAGGGATAATGTATAATGTTCATGCCTCATACAGTAATGCTCATGTTCTGATAACGTGAACAGCTCTTGAGACACAGATGTTTTTTTGTTGTTGTTGTACTGCTGCATAATATTTCATGACAAATCTGGGAAAAGGGTTTTAACTCAAGGCTTAGTAACATGCTGGAGAAGACGGACCAAAATATTTTTGAATCAATCCTGCCTCGATGTCAAACAAGGAACAAAGAAACATTCCATTTGGATTTGTAACTGTAAGGTAGCTTAGTCCGACCCGCAAAGACTTTTTGTGATTGCAAAAAGGGTATTTCTTATCAAGGATGTTTAGGACTGTTTTATATTGTACTATTGTCACGACACTATCTGTCTGTTTATACAGAACAAAGCAGCAAACATATAAAATGTACAGGCAGAAAGCACATACAGATGCATCCTTTGGACATTAAGTAGCAGTACGTTTCAGGCATGAGCGCGAACAAAGCAGATGAAAAACGGGAATTGGATACTGCATTTTTATGAAATACCTGAGGCCTTAGATATCAAAGATTTGGTGAGATGAAGTGCTCTGCTTCTCTATTTTTTCAAGCATCTCCTCTTGTTTAGTGGTCTATCAGAGCCGAATGCACCGTTTGATCTTTTTTACCTGTGGCCAAACATCCAAAGGTACTCCTTGTCGTTTCCTTTCTCTCTAAGTGTATTATAAATCATATTCATAGACAACTGATGTCACTTAAAATCAGTGTAAGTTTATTCAGATGTTATAAAAGTCACACACATTTTACTTTTTATTCTAAAATAATTTATTAAATAAACTGTCATATATTTCACAGGCTTGGTTCATATAAGTATAACAGACAAAGTGAGAAGTGTATAGGTAAGCCTACAAACTGTGAACATGCACTGCATTACTAAATGTTGTTATATGCCCATCCACATGAATTCATTTATATTCCAGGTAAATACTCCAGGTATCTTAGATATGGTTTTAGAGTTTGAGAGTATGTTTTTGTAGATTTAGCCTGATGAAATATTTATTGTAATGGAGGGAAGGTTATGTTTATTAAAAAAATAGCTTTCTGTATACTTCTTCCATATGCTGTTGACTGTTTCCTTTCACTTGCTGTGTTTGTTGCTGGATGGTGGCATATGTTTAATGATGGATTCAACAGTGAAGGACAGATCTGCATAACATTTTCGGTACAGAGCAGCTAATGGTCTGTGAACTCCTGATATACTGTGGTGAAGAACTCCTTTCTTGAATGCTATTCCTAAATAAAAAGATTATTTACTGGTCTGTACATCAATACAATTGACTGTGCACCATATTTACTTTACTTGAACTTCTCCTGTCATGTATAAGGTGAAAAATGGCTCTGTTTTATATCTTCATGTATTTGTTGATGAGATTACACTCAATATTGCTTTCTTCTTATGTAAGAAATGAAGAGACGGATGCCTTTCAGAAAGATAAAAATAAGTGACAAAATAAGGCACGAACGCATGAAAATGCTTTTTGCACCCGGTTGCAGATCAGATCAAAGAAAGTGACAAACAGGGTCTCATCGAGCCCAAAGGGTGATGACACACGCCATGGATCGCTGGGTGGCCTGGGGTGACAAAGATATGATCTGACAGTGGGTTTCCATTATTGCATGATAATGGACACACTGTAGTGTAGAGATTCCAACAGCTGGGTCTTACCTACCAGTTGAATGGAAAATACTGGTGTAGCATTCACAGACAAAGATAGGACAATTGTATTCAATATATACAGGCAAATAAAGATGCTTCTTAAACTGTTTCCACCTGTTGTTACTGCATTTGAGCTCAGACAAAAAAACTAATTAACCAAATATATCATCCTTAAAAAGACAAGAGAGACCTCATCAGCTCTTGATATAGAGATGGGTATCCTGTAATTACATTATCCTACTAATAATTCCATTCATTATCATACAGTGGGTAACGCCAAGATCCATCAACCTTATATTTTCTTTAATATAGGCAAACGGCCTGTGGTAGGTTTATTGAGGAGGCTGCATGAATCACACAACTACTTTTTTTAATGCTCAACACACAGGGATTATAAACTAATCAATAATACTAATCCTCACACGGAAATACCATCCATTTCACCAGCGCAGCCTTACATCACCGTCCATTATTATTGCTGTTTGAATAAGCAAGAGGCCTTCATGCAATCAATTCGGTGTGACGGCATATGAAGAGAAAATTATTTGCAGCTTATAATTGTGTTTAAGAGGGAAACAACTTTCCATCATTCATTAAGGTTTAGGGAGGCTGCTTTGTGAGGTCTGAGAGAGAGAGAAAGAGAGAGAGAGAGAGAGAGAGAGAGAGAGAGAGAGAGAGAAAGAAATGAGGGTTGCCATAGCAACTGCACAGCAATTGAGAAGGCCAGTGTGAGAGAAAAGCGGGAAATTAATGGAGTTAAAAACACTGGTGCATGATTTTGCCAAAAGTGTGTCTCACGCCTGAACATGAAAGCTACATTAAATTAAACATTATTTTACACTGTATTTAAGTGATAATAAAAGCAGCAGCAAATTCTTCTGTTTTCTGCGGGGTTTATTCAGAGGATTATGCTTACACGGCACTCTTCAGTCTACAAAACAGGCAAAGGAAGGAAAGAAGCCCGTGTTCTGTATGGGGTATCTGCCTTACACATTCGTGCAACAGAAATATTGTTGGTTGGTGTGAGATCATCTGTAGGCTTGTGGCATTGATCTATACCCCTTTCTACCCAGACGTCTATGAATACACACTGAGAACAGTTTGCTCCATGAATTAAAAAAGAAGGAAAGAAAAAAAAAATCCAAAGGATGTGGATTTAGAAATAAAGTAAGTGGACCTTGTGTTGAGTTCACAATAAGCAGTATTATTCATCTTGGGTGCACTGTTTGTAGTAGGGCTTAGTAAAAATGTGTTGATGTGATAAGCAAAAGGAGCAACCTCAATGCATAGTTTTTATGACTGTTATTACCTCCAATTATATAATACTTGGTGACATATTCTTAACCTATTTCCATTGTATATCAAATAATTTAAATATGGAAAAAAACTAAATTAAATGTTGCTGCCTCATGCGTTTTTTTCTCTTTTTGAACCAGTGTTACCTCACATGGGAGCTCTGCCTACAAAATCTGTGCAGAGACATAATCAGTGACCTCTGACTTTGTTTAGTTGACCCCTTACATATACTGTTAATGGTTGACCCACTAGGCTCCAGAGTCCAGAGAAGAGGAAAACCTCTAACCCCAATCAATAACAGTCAGCTGGGAGCAAAGACCAGAGCTGTTCACGCAGGGCATCAATATAATATAGCTTAGCAGCACCATTCATCATAATGGATGTCTCAATGTTAGATTATAGAAGACGCATTGAGATAATGTTACTCAAATGTTAAGAAAAAAAAGGTAAACCCAATAAATATTGATATTTATAAATATCAATATTTATGGTCAATAAAGTAAAGATCTTAGGTCTTTAAATATTGTGTTGTTATGCTACTTACATACAAAGTATAGAAATAAGATAGTTAGTTGTGATAAAAAAAATGGTCATTAAAATTTTTGAACATCAAAATTATTATATAGTAATGAAAAAATACAAAATATAAATGAGATTGAGAATTTTATTTTTTATATATCATAATTTTGACTTACTAACTTTCATTTTGACTAACCTTCCATATATATATTTTTTTCATTTCCTAGCAGAAATGGACCTCCATACCAAAGTGACAGTACGTGGCTGGCATCCACAAAGGTGTCAAAAGATGCAGGAATATGTCAATGCAGGTAATATTAATAAGCTAGATGGGGTGTAGATTTTGGTTTCTCCATGTCTGAGTTGTTTCATAACTACCACATTTTCATTCCCTATTAACGTGAGGCAACTTCAGTGGAGGGTAGAAACCCCGCAGCCCTCTTCCACCACTCAGAGTTAATAGAAGTTAACAAGCAATAATGGCATGACAAACCATATATTTTACTCTGGGTGGCAGTCGGGGCTTTGAGGAAACACCAATAAAATTGAATTTTCGTTTTCACATGTGATCCATTTACTGGTGGAATTCACAATTGTTCTTCGATGCTAGAAGTGACAAGAGTGGTGGGTGTCTTGCAGCAGAATAAAAGGTGTGTGTGTGTGTGGGGGGGGGGGGGGTGTTTCCTGTATGTGAGGAATTTATAAAAAAAAGTGTTGGTGTGCATGATCAACTTGCATGGAAGTTCAGTTGTCTGAATCGAATGGCAAAAGCTAACTGAGCTGCAAACGGGAGCTTTATTTCCATTCCAACATGACAAAAACAGGTTTTGCATGTCTGTAACATTTATTAACCCACAGCAGCATTACCATCATCAAGTAACACATTCGGAATTACTTGTGAAAATAGGAAACTTTGAAGTAATCGAGCTCAGGAGAGTCCTGTGGCAGCGAGTCCAGTGGAAGTGGCTATTTGCAATGAAGCAGAGACATTAAAGGTGTAAAAGAGGGGGAGTTTATCTCTCCGCAGACCGAGTACTACAAGCAGATGGAGTAGCTCCCGGAACAAACAAAATGCACATCCTCGTTTTTCAGCTCCCACTGGGAAGAGAAAACCACAACTCAATAGCCATTTTAGCAAACACTACTGGTCAAGCTGCCACAGAACTTAGGTATCCAGCAAAGCTGATACCCTTTTAAGTAGGGTTTGATGTTTACTTGAACGAATGGTATTTTAACTAGCAGTGCTGACAGCCTGTGCAGCATCACAGGAGAAATGGCATCCAAGGACTTTTTTTTTTTAAATTTACATTTCACAGGAAAATAACTGAACCATGAGGGGAAAGTACCACTAAAAGCTTTCAGTCAACTCCGACCACTGAGCAGATGTGTAACCCTTTGCTCTCTATACCATCTGTTGTCTTTATTCATGACAGTGAACAGTTTCTCACTCCAGGACGAAAGGGCTTTCTGTCTCCTACTGAATAGCACGCAGCAGCAGCCACAGAAGCAACGGACATTAAAGAGCGTTTTTGAACACAGAGGGTCTAAAGGGACATGAACAGAAGAATGAGCAGAGAGCAGTATCACATCAGTATCAGATTAAGGCTGTGAAACCCAGGAGGTGATCCAATGGAAGCAGGCTGAGGCTCTACACAGCAACAGACACTAGGCAGATATAAACCCCAGGAGGCTGTCTGAGAGAGAGAGAGAGAGAGAGAGAGAGAGAGAGAGAGAGAGAGAGAGAGAGAGAGAGAGAGAGAGAGAGAGAGAGAGAGAGCAGACACACACAGTTCAGCACAGACATAAGCAAGCCAGCAACGGGGGTGGCTCTCAGCACAGAAATGTGCAGCGCATGTACAATGAACTGTCTTTTTTGTGATTACCCTTGACAAGATTCACTATTGAAGACTGCTTATCCAGGAAACACATTCTTAGCCATAGGCTTTTCAACAATAACCGCATATTAGCTGAGCAAAGTTCTCTGAATGTCTAAGAGAGCTGCCAAATCCCCATCAAGCTGGACTTCACACATGCTTTGGGTCAGCCTATGATACCTCCCTACATCCACCAGGGGGCTCAACCTCATCCTACCCCTCTCCATCTCCTGCTGCCACACCTCTCTACACCTCTGGAGCCCCTCTACGGAAGCAGGCTCAGGGTTAGTGTCCTCATGTCCAAGACTCTTCTTCTTATCCTCCTCTTCTTCACAAAGTAGCAGTGACACACCGTCTCTGAGTGACACCACCTCTTTTTCCAGTGCCAAAGACAATATTTGAGCTGTACGTTGTCCTCTTGTACCTTTGACAGGCTGCATGGAGCAGGACACAGGGAGGTACGCCAAGAGAGAGTCCAGGAACCGGAGCATCTGTATGTGGCTGCAAAGCAACAACAAGGCCACATTTTACATGTTATTATATAATATGTTGTAATAACTTGTCGTTTCTTGATGTCTTCTTTTATCTTTTCTGTCATTTCTCAGCTGCTTCACACCCACCTACCTGTTTAGTTTTTTTGCAGATTTGTCATTCTAAGTGCTCCGTTTCCCAGAGAACCCTAATCACTTGATATTCAGTGGAATATCCCACCGACATGCATCCTAGTCAACTTCAAAGCCTTGTCAATTTTAAAACCATTAATATAAATTGAGCAGTGTCCTCTTGCGGAGCTACCTTGCATAGTTTTTTAATATAATTGAATAATTCCAGAGAGTCCCTGGTAGTAGAGTCTGAACCAAAACACAGAGCAGTAATAGCTTGCAAATGAAAAGAAAATCTCACTAATAGACAAATTATTCTGTTTTTCTGACTCTACGTGACTATTAAAATAGCAGCATACAAACATTTGAAATAATGCAAACAAAAGGAAGTTCTTCATAAAAGAAATTTGAAAACAACATTCAGACAATAGAATATAAAAGGTCAAATTAAGATTTGAAGAAAAAGATGTACTGTGTGCAGTTTGTGACCTTTGGTAGCGCTACAGAGCATTTCTTCTCTGAGTTTTCTGAGTGGGTACTACTTGTGTGATGCAATACAATGGTTTGTCAATGGTTTTACACTATTCCACTGATCTACAAATGCACCACAGTAAATGCAGAGGAGAAGAAGACTGCTAGCGAGTCAATATGTTTGCAAACATGGCAGGTTTCAAAGTCTTCCATAAATCAGCTGTTTTATAAGGAGGGAAAATGATTCAATATTGTGCTTTAGTATGTAACACTAAATGTAAACAGAAGCTTTGTTTATAAGAATGAAGAATTATAAACTGATAATATGATAATGGCTCAGTGATACAGTCATCTTACTGGTATCTGTAAATAAAAATGATTTACCTGGAGTGGATTGACAGCTCCCCCTGGAAAGGGGTTATCTGATGCCAGCGCAGCAGCATGACAGCAGATGGTCCAGAAGAATTTAACAGTAGATACTGAGGGCTCACATCTACCCTCTTACAACCGACTCTTTTCTGAATCCAGCCATCTATATCGCCTAAGCTGTGATCAGGAGAGTCTATGTGGAAGACCCAGTGATCCAGCACCGCCATCAAACTCAAGAAGTCCTCTTCAACCTCATCTGGGTACAAAAAGAAAACAATAATGAACATCCATGTGTCAGAATTTAAATCTCACGTCGTAGGCATTTGTGATTTTTACCTGTTTTGAGTTCGGGGTTTTTCAGCAGTCGGGTCTGGAAATCACTGTGGATGTCTAAATCAACTTGACCACAATGCAGAACAACTGGTGTTAGGTTGCTCACAATGGCAAAAGCATCTTGTCTCTGGGCATAATGGAGCATGACACAGCACTTGACACAGCCAGAGTTCAACAGAGGTGTCAGCTTGGTCACAGCAGTCACAGCCAGTCTGCATGTGTTGAGATCATTGAGTCTGCCGGCATTGTGCCGCTTGCTTCTTTTGGCTGCGGGCTCTGGGAACGTGGGGGCAGAGGAAGAGGAGGAGGAGGATGATGATGATGAGGAGCAGGGTGCAGGGAGCCAGAACACTTGGCTCTGGGTTTGGATGACTGCGGGCGTTGAGCTCTGGCCTGTCTCTGTCAGGATGGATAAGCTCACACTGGCCAATGGTCTGGAACGAAAATAACACATCACTAACAATCAGATATCACATGGACAGTAGGTGATCAGACTGGAAATCAGATACAAAGTGTGTGTGTGTGTGTGTGTGTGAAGGAATGTGTGACTGCTCGTGAGCCGATTAACAACACCGATATCTCTAAGGTGGTGAAATTACATCAGCTATGCAAGTGCAACCATCAAAGCAACAATATATGGACTCTTGGGGGCAATCATGCCAGAAGTAGTTTTCCTCCATTTCCAGCAGGAACAGGTGGATGAGGGGATGTGGTAGCTTCTTGTTCCCACAAAAGGAGCTGGGAGAGTTAATAAAAACATGTTGCCATGGTGACCACCGAGCCAACCTGCATCCACCTTGCATTAAATTCAGATAAAGTTGGGGGCAATCAAAGAGGTAAAATAATCCTTAATCAGTTGGTAATATTTGTTAACAGAGATTAGGTGTTACATTTCTCTTTGATTTAATCATGCAAGAAAAAAAAAAACAACCTCCAAGTTCTTTGAAGAAGTAATTTTTCACAGTTTTCACAGATGCGATTTACTCGACACCTCAGCAAATGGCACCATAATGTTTTGGTTCCGACAAACTTAATCAGGCAGCAATGATACGGCCTGACAGCTGGACAGTCGTACTTCTCACTTGACTAAAACATGGGAGTGCATATTAATTTTGCCTGCGACTTCACCATGCACACATGGATCCACTCCACCAGATGAGCTCATTATGCCTGACGAGACATCGAGTGGACGAGCATTTTAGAAAAATCACTACCAAGTGCTGAGATAATGTCACGTTCAACGGGCCATGTTTTGGAAGCCTGATGTCTTGGTGCACGCGGAAAAGTATATGCAATCAACTTCAATTAAAAAACAAATCATGTTTACACAGAGCTGTCAGTAGTTAGTATCACTCCCACAACCATTCGGTCCTCAGCGATGCGATGCCACAGCTTGTCAACTTGAGGTTTTGAAGACACTGCTGGCATGTCTTGTGTCTTGTCATCCATGGCCTCTTCCTTTGACTCGTCATCACAGTCCCACAGAGCAATGAGGCCTTCCTGGACAGAAAGTGCAAAGAAGACTATAATCAGTGTGACAGCATCGACAGCAATGGCAGTGTATGTCATACATTTCAATTTGAACATCAGGTCATCAGGTACACATGTAGTGGACTTTATAAATGCTATTTAAAGAGAAAAAGTTGTTGTAGTGATACTTCATGTCAAAATGTAGTAAAATTACTCGAATTTAAAATGTGCTTTTTTTTTTTAATCAAACCTTGGGCCATATGTATCAGTTGCTGTCTGTTTGTTGTATCCGTAACTGTGGACAGTTGTGTTGAGGTTCTGATCTAAATAGTTTTCTCTCCTGTCTTTTTGACTCAAGAACTGGTGAAAATATGCTGAATGATAATTTTTCTATTAAGATAAAAGTATTAATTTTTATTCCAGGTGAGTTTTAATTTCTCCATTCTAAACACAAGGTGCATATAATGTGTGTAATATTACTGCCAGTCTCTCTTTTGGCTATAAATGTTTTTTAATCTACGCTAAGGGAAAATAAAACTCACCTGGAACAGAACACAAATGCTTTTAGTCCTATTTAGAACATGGGGTACTGGGGACAAAAAACATGCAAAGAAAATGTCACCTGTATGTAACAATATGCATATATAACCTTTAAGTGGTGCTGGGCGGTATAGACAAAGATTTGTATCACTGTATTTTTTAATATTCTGGCAGTTTTATAGTGCTCTATATAGGATGCTCTATAAGTTAAGTAGTGTAAGTTTGTAGTGTTTTTTTCTATTGTCAGGAGTACATAGAATATAAAAACATTTTAATGTCCTCATTTATATACTGAGGGCTTTGATTACTATTGACAATTATTATATTATTATAGACAAAATGATACAAAATATAAAGGAATCAGAATGTTAACTATTTTTATAGTAGTAAATCCAAAAGATATGTTAACATTAACATGGCTTCCTTTTTTAAAAACAAAATATTTTAAAATAGTCGTATAAACACGGTAAGAGGGTGGGATTAATATAGATTGGGGGGGGTTGTGTTATAATGTTGAAACAGCCCACCAATAGCTTCATTCTATAACAGGCTTCAGAGAGTCGTATATCGTATATTGTATTACGTGAATAGTACCTGCTCGGGCTGTGTGAGAGTAGGGTCTCTTTCTGAGATCACATCAGTAAGGGCTTGGACTGACTGCTGTAGAACTCTTTCCTTTACTCTCTCTTCCTGTTGAAGCTCCCGCAGCACGGTCAATCCACTCTAAGAGACAGATCACATTTAATGAACAGTAACCTATATATTGGAAATTGAACACAAAGTGAGTACACATTTGTAGAACTATAAAATAGTCAAATGAATGTTACATACAATGAATATCATCATAACTTAAATGCTGTAGCATCATGACATGATCGTACAAAAAAGATGATGCTCACCTGTAGTCTGGACTCTAATGCTTGAAGAGTGAGGAGATAGTTCTCTGGTGGAGGAGATGTCTTTGGTGCTTCATTGTCCTGGCAATGCTAAAACATGCACTTTTTTTATTAGACACTCTCAACTTCTGTCAAAAATAAATGTAACTATGATGGGAAAATGATGCCTTACAGCATATGTAATGCCGCAGAGGTCTGTGAGGAGGAATCTTTCCAATGGGTGCTCTGTTACACCTTGATCCTTAAAAACCAGCAGAATCTGGTCTGTTCCACATCCCAAGAAGTCATCCACGTGGACCGAGCTGACACCTGACCACTGGGAAGCTATCTGGAGAAGAAAGTTTAACAAAAGTACACTTGTAAAAAAAAAAACTTGTAAAGTGAATGAAAGCACAGCTATAGAAAATGCAGCCCATAGACACTGAACCCATTTTTACATACCTGAAATGTCTTCTTCCATACAGCGCATACATGCCCCTGGTGAAAGGATACGGCAAACAGGCAGCCGTTTCTTCCTGTGTCGACTAACTGAATATTTTCAGGGTGTTCAAAGGGGAGCTGACATGTGTCCTTTACGATGCCATTCTCAAAGTAAACAAGCTGCTGATTAGAAGTTGCTGCAACCACAGCAGATTTCAACACACCATCACCATCCCTTTGTTCAGCTGAGAGCACCAAGAGGCATCGTGTGATGCAAATGTAGGGATGAGGCAAAACCATTGTGCCATCAAACACGTGTCCATCCTCAACAAAACAGCCCAGGGTCTGGCTTGTGGACTTATTCGAGGACTGTCCTGAAAGGTTTTGCAGGCCGAGAACAAACACCTGTTCTTTGTGAAGGGGGAGTTCTCCAACGACAGTGTGGGACAACTGAATGGGAATCTGTCTCACCTCTCCTGCCTGCAGAGATGTGTAGAAGACATTACCAGCGTGGCTCCACAACACTGTGGGGCCCCGGAGGATGGAGACACCCTCCCTCATTTGATATGGGAGTTTAAACTCAATGCAGGGCTCCAGTCGGTTTGAGCTGCTCAGTGTGAGGAGACTATACTGGAAGCCCTCTCCTTTCTCACTTTTCTTTGTCACCAAAACACACGGAGTAGTGACTCTCTTCTGAACATTTATGGCACATTGACATTTGACAATATCCACATGAGTGGATCTTCTCCTGCTGATGACAGCCGCTCCGCCTGCTGCCTTCACGAACGCCTTCTCCTCCCGTTCAAACGAAAGGCTGCTGAATACTAACTCACTCCTTTCGCCTTCGTTTGTGGCTGAAGCTCGTTGGCAGTTAAATAAGATTATCTTTCCACAGAGGGAAAGTCGATGGGGATTTTGACACACATCTCCTGAGAACAATCTCTCCATTATACAAAAAGGGAAAGTTCAGGCGCCTACCAGGTTCGATTCCTCCTGATTGACAGTTCGTGTTAACGTTGGGAGCGCTCACTTTTACGACACTTGTCTCACCAAGGTGTACAAAGTGGCCGCTCGCTGCTAAACCCAACGTTTGTGAGAGAAATGTAGCCGTTGGTTGTCAACGTATCATAACAACCGTAACGTACACTCGCAGCGGCGCGCCAACTGAAATTGAACGCTTCCTGTCAGCGCCAAGTGCATTGTGGGTGCAGAGTTGATAAACAGCAGCGAGTTGAAGAGATTACGCTCGCTGGTTCCGTTTGAGCGAATCAATTATACGGATGATTAGATAAACGCTTTCCGTCGGCTGTTGAATACAGTTAAACACGTCATCTACTCATTCAAGCGCAAACAAACAACACACACAGAGAGGTGGGGCCACGGCCGGAGCCAAAATGGCGGCGACCGGACGCCAGTTTCACACTCCGCACTGATTCTTCTGACGCTAAACGTTAGCTAAGACTAGCTAGCTCAACAAGGAACTACCACAGAGAAGGAACTCCGGGGCAGTCGAATATGGCTGAACTTGGTCAACACGAAGGGGAGCAGGTATCGTTAACTACCGTTACACAGCATTTTAGCTATTTTTATTTATTTTGTAAACAAATGTGTCTGTTGAAACGAAAGGCATACTCTAACCTGAACGAACTCTTTTGACAGGACATTGAGAAGAAAATTGAGGAGACGAGACAGAGATTTAAGAATGAGTTCCTGCAAGGTAACACAGTTGTTGTGGATAAACTGACATTAACTTGACGGGTCACTTGTTTTAGTGCTTACATTTTGGAGTTACTGTCAGCTAGATAAATCGATATACTGTAAGTTAACTAGCTGTTGCATTACTTTGTCACGTTGGTGACATCATGACCTAAATGCTGAGAGCCCAGATAAGCTCCAACAGATAACTAACGTTAGCCAACATTAGCGCTGTATTGCCACATGTACTCGTTTACACTAATGCAGCCTGTGGTTATAACGTTTAAGATTAGATTAGAGTAACATTAGAGGCTTGATTGTCACTGCCTGTTAAACACAACAACATTTGGTTTGGCAGCAACTTAGCAGCATATTTACATAAATATAAAAAAAGGAGAAGACATGTATGCATAAAAATATAAATAGTCAGAATCATCATGGCCCGCAGGTGAACTTTATTGTAGCACATCTCTTTTTGGTTTTTAGAGGGTCATACTATTTTTATGGAAGTAGGGAAGTCCGTGTGGTTGAAAGTTAAACATTGAGCTCCTTGAATTTTGAACGTCATGTGATTCAGCCTTTGTATTGTGTTTACAGATTCAACAGAAAAATATGACTCCAGGGATGTGGAAAGGCTTCAAAATGATGAATCACTGGTGGAAGGCTACCTGACATGGAGACTTTATGTCATTGATGATGCCTTGAAAATGATTGATGAAAGCCTTCAGTGGAGAAAAGAGTTTGGTGTGAATGGTAAGAGTCCACGCTGAATAGTTTGTACGATTTCACATCAGCTAAAAGTAGAGCAGTGCCTCATTTTTGATATTAAAGATATAAAATATATAAAGATATATAAAAACTAATTTTAAAATGTCTTGGTTTGACAAAAATTATGTTTTTGTAAAAACCCTATTTTCATTTAAGATGCCAAAGTTCTCAAGTGTAAATGTTGCCAAAGCAGGAGACGTTGTCCAGAAACTTTGCCTCAATAGAATTGTCTAAAATTGCCAAAATGTCTGATTTAAGTTATGAACTACATAATCAGAGAGTAAAATAGTCCTTAAATTCCAGCTTTTGGAACATGATAACCCTTTTTGATAGTTGATCCTACAGGCACGATTTCATCAGTGCCAAAAAAGTATTGAAGTTCAATGTCCAAAGCAGAAATGTTGACATTACCATATTTAGCAAGCTTGCGACACAGATCTGTGGTTTTCTTTGTGCTGCTCAGAACCCAGACAGAGTGTCATTGTGCGTTAAACACCCATATCTTCATGCATAGGCTAACCCCGAGAACAATCCCCACTGTCTCTGTTTTCTGAGGAGTTCAATTTTGCTGTTTGTTAGCCTGTAATCCAGCAAATTAAATTTATCAAACTGTTGTTTTTAGGAAATTTGATTTATTCAGATGGTTAGTATCCAGCGGCCTTATGATGTTAGTTCTTTTATCGACCCGGGTTGATGATAAGTGTGTTATCTTCTGTCAACTCAAGCAGCTTCAGATTTAAGTGTAACTGGGATCTTTAACAGATTCTATGAAACTGTATATAAATAATAGTAAGTGAGAGACTACTAGTAGAAGCCCAGGAAAGTACAGCTGTCCACTCGTGGTTTTCATACATGTATGTTTCGTACAGTGTTACTATTACTACTGTAGACCACTTTTAGTTATATTTGTGCTTGTGATGACTCCTCTCCAGCAATAGAAGATGGCTTTGCTGAGTATTGTCAAGACAAAGCAGCTGTCAATTAGATAAATTAAGCGTTGCAATCATTTTGTAGTAAATATTAAAATGTATAGGAACCTTACAAGCAACCATTGCCCTTGTTACATTCTGTTTAGCTAATAATTAGATTATAACAAACACCAGTTAACAGTAAGTAATGTGTGTGTCTGCCTGCGTATTTCAGATCTCACTGAGAGCGTCATTCCCAAATGGATGTTCGAGACTGGTGCTGTCTACCTCCACGGCTATGACAGAGAGGGCAACAAGCTCTGTATGTGCATGTTCTATTACAGCGATGCTTACAGTAAACTCTAATGTTACACACTTACAACTGAGCCTTTCTTTAACTGTCAGACAACATATCAGTTACATTAGAAAGTCTTTAGCTGTCACTGAAATTCTACACTAATACAAAGCTTCTAATTCCTTAATTAATCATTTGTATTCTCTGTTTACTTTGTTCAGTCTGGTTCAAAGTGAAGTTACACACCAAGGATGCAAAAACAATCTTGGACAAGAAGAAGTATGTTGCCTTCTGGCTGGAGCGGTATGCAAAGAAAGAGCCTGGGATGCCACTCACTGTAGTGTTTGACATGGCAGAGTCTGGCCTCAGCAATATAGTAAGTCTGTGATGAGGGTGTTTCAAAGGAAGCACTTCTTTTTTTATTTATGTGTCAAGCTATAATCTAGGTTTTAATTTAGCTTCTTTTCTTGCAGCTATATCCAGGTCTCCAAGACAAAACTTACTTTGCATTTTCATCCCCTCCCTGTTAAATAAGCTTCACTCTTATGTCAGAAAAAGACCATTTCCTTGCTGCGACCGCATTTAAAAGCTGTTGAGCATCCTCATATTTCTTGCTGTTTGAGCTGTGGTCTTGCAGGGACTGATGCTTCAATGGTTTTACACTTTGGAGATTAAAGTAACCTTTAAATCCCGTTGGTCAATTCGAGTGGACTGTCTAATCCGCAAGACTCGCTGTGTCGCAGGCGTTAGCTCCTTGATGAAGCTCTGTCAGCGAGTGTGTTTCATTGGCTAGGCTCTCTCCTGAAGAAATGGCTCTATTAAATACAAATAAACCAACACAAGGAAAGGCAAAATTGATAAATAGCTATGCAACTCAAACATGAAATGAGTAGATTAGAAGATCAGTTTGGAAAGCAGCCTCATTGAGGCTGTTGAACCACAGTACAAGCTAGAGCAAGGGTAGCCAGTATGATCTCATTAAGGCTTGGGAGGGAGTCTGCTGCATAGCAATGAGGCTTCTAGCCAATTATGGAGCCCAGCCAGGATAGCAGGGCCGTATCTATTGACATATTGTCTGTTTGCCTGATGACTGTGATTAACATAAAACAGTAAGATGAACATTTATCATTTTCATCCAAAAACATTGTAGGAGAACCTTTCACCTGAATATGCGGCTTCTAGATGAGATTTATAGTGTTTATTTTATCTGTTTTATCTGCCCAATCTAAAAAATATATATATGTCAGAATCCCTTTATTATTTATGTGTAAAAATTTATTTAAGTCTAAGCCATTTGCTGTGAACTCTTCTCCTTTTTTTTGTTGTTGTTTTTAGGAAGACTGTCACCTTGAACTGGTTAAAAGCTGTTAGATCTAGGTGGTGCAATCAAATGGTGTCAAAACAGCAAGTAAAAACTTTGCGAAATAGCCTCCTCAAGTCTTTTTCATTTGAGAGAACGGTCATTCAGAGGAGCATGTAATGAATTTTCATTTTCTGTTAAGTGGGTCACTGCAGATCTACAGGTGGTTAAGAATGAACAAACATTTTCCTTGTTCAAAATCCATAACGCTTCTTTTATAGCTGAAGCACCGTGTGTCGTTACACTTTTTACATCAGCGTTTTTTTTCTGCTTTGTCTTTCAGGACATGGAGTTTGTGAAGTACATTATCAATTGCTTCAAAGTATATTATCCAAAGTTTTTGTGTAAGTAACAAAATTTGTTATAAGCATTCGTCAATAGTGATTTTTGCTACTTTAAAGTCAATTTTGAAACATAATTCTCATGGACAAATTTTGTCCTTTTTCTGTCGTTTCAGCCAAAATGATCATCGTGGATATGCCTTGGATCATGAATGGTGAGAACGGGCCTGCCTTCTCTTAGCAGTCCATACAAATTTGAATGTTTTTATGTCCGTTGGTAACTTATATAAATAATAACATTATTCTGACATCTTGAGCATAATCATGTCTCTATTTCAGCTGCATGGAAGATTGTGAAGTCCTGGTTGGGACCCGAGGCAATCAGCAAGCTCAAGTTTGCATCCAAATCTGAGATCCAGACATTCATAGACCCAGAGTACCTGCCACCTCACATGGGTGGAACGGTACGTTATAATGTCTTTCTGTATGTGTCAGCATTCAAAATAGCCTGATTTAGTGCATTATTAAGTGTCTGTCAGACAGTTACAGAAAGTGCAGTAGTTGTCACCCATTCATTAATATTTATCATCTTTCAGTGGGATCCCATTGTAATGTTGGTGTGATGCACAGTTATATTGTGCAAGTTGTGAATATAAACCAATTTAAGAAATATTTTTCCTATCTTGAATGTTTGTGCCACACTGAAATCTAATTAGTAATTAGTAGGTTGAGCAGCTTTGTCAGGTCACAACTGTCCAGTAAACAATAATAGTCATTTCATCACTTCAGTAAATGATAAACATCAGTTAGATT